AGAGAGAGAGAGAGAGAGAGAGAGAGTAGAGAGAGAGAGTGAGGAGAGAGAGAGAGGAGAGAGAGAGAGAGAGTGTGTGTCAAAGTATAATGTGATCTTATTTTCGTAAAAGCTTAAAATGAAAAAAAAAAAAAAATTAGATAAAATAAAATTAGAGTGCTTTTAATGATATATTGGTTATCCAATTATTAATATATTCTGTTCGGCAATTGCTCTAAATCAGTCACTCTCAATGAGCAATTAAAGCACATTCTGAGTTCTATAGAGAGCGCAGTTGAAAAAGTATTAATGGGGTGACTCAATTCACCCAAACCCAACATATATTTACATATACATATATATATGCATGTGTATAGACAGTAATGAAGTTCTATGAACCCATCAAGAACGGAATTCTAGGTATAAAAGGTTTTGTATAATGTTATATTAAGGGCAGAAGAACAATGTACTCCATATACACTTGATCACGGTGATGAGTTGAGTATAGCATTGTGTGTGCATATGTCTATTAGCTTAAACTACACATAAGATCAGTCTGCATACATATATACTTTAATATAATAATAATAAGTATATACCCCTTGAAATGAGCTTCGCTAGATAAGTTATCAATTATGGGTGACATTTGCTTATCGTTGAAGAAAATTGCTAATGATTGATCATTTTCGATCATTTGAATCATTTGATTTAAATTGAATAATATGGTCTCCGATTCCTTTTCTTCTAGCTGTCCTCACTGTACTAGTTAGTATAGTCACATTTGTTGGTCACACATTTACTAGTTAAAATATTTAATTTTGATCGAAATTAAGTTCCTACACTAGATGACGAAGTATGTTTATTTCCTATATACTTTATATATTTACAGAGTTGGCGCATATAAAAATATTTGGTTATTATTGTGTATTTGCATATGCTACGCATATTGAATGATTGCAACAAGGGCTAACTGCAATATTGGGTTTGTTTCTATATTTCTTTTTAGCAGTCGCCCCATTTGTGTGATGCGCGGTGTGTTTCAGTCGAGTGCATGCTCTGCAGCCCTTCACTGGGCAAATGGTAATGGCAGCTCGTGCTGGCAGTTCGATTGGCTTGACTTGATTTTCGTAGTTGCTTCCGTTTCAATGTCCAATGTTATTCGCAATTGCTTTGCACTGCTACCGCCTCTCCCTCTCTCTCTCTCTCTCTCTCTTTATCTGTCTCTCTCACTCTCGCTCTGCTGCTCTCTTTCTGCCTTTCTTTCGCTCTCAACTCCAGCTGCCTTTGCCAGTGAAGCGCATACTTTGTCACTTTCTTTTCGTTGCATGTAACAATGTCATTTGGGTGGGGCAGGGCGGTGCGGGGCACTTTATAAGCATGCTTTTTACTTATTACTGCGCTGTGCTTTTTACGTATTTCTTTTCGAGCTCGTCTGTCAGCTGCGCGGCCTCAGTTACGCGTGAATCTTTCACAAGACCAAGTGACATTCCGGACGGCTTGGCGCTGTTTAAACTATTTGTTTATTTTTATTTCTTTTTTTTTTCAAGTGTCATATACGTGTTTTTATTTTTGGGTGTTTACTAAAATTCTTAATGTGCAAAAGAAAATTTGAGTGCAAGATTTTGCGTTAGTCCCAGCTCGAAATTATATCAAAATATATATACATATGTATATCATATCGTTGTTATTGTATCGTTGTTAAGTGCTAAGTGCCGGTGAGAGTTCACGTTGCTACAAAAAATTTTAACAGCCAGCGAAACTCAAAATATATGCAGTGAGTATTAATATACAAGTATATACATAGGTATAGGTTAACAAAAATATTTACATTTGTTTCTTACTTAATATATTTACATAGGTACACATAGATAATGATTTACATTATTAAATGAAAACTTGTATTATGTTTTACAATTTATTTTTAACAGGGTTGAAATGAAATTTAAAAGAAAAGAAATAAAAATTGAGATGGGTATTAAAAGTTTTTTTTTGAGATGCTAAGATAGAATGGGAAAAAGAGTGAGAGACTGACAGAGAGAGAGGAAGGGAGAAAACTAAAATATTCAGTGTAGAGAGAGAGAAAAAGAGAGAAAACTAAAATGTCCAGTGAAGAGAGAGAGAGGGAGAAAAGGGAAAAGAGAGAGAAATTTATATAATGCGATAGGGAGAGGGAATAGAGAGAGATAAAAGAAAAATTCTGGGGGGGAGAAAGTGAGAGAAAAATAGGGAAAGAAAGAGGGATAGAAAGAGAGAAACAAAAAAATGTGTAGGAAAGTAGAAAACATCAAGAAAGAGAAAAAGATGAGAATAAGAATTATAAAAGTAAAGATAGAAAAAGAGGAGGAGAAAACAAAGAAACACATAGCCAGAAAAAGAGAATATGTAAAGTGAGGAAGGAGACGATTCCCGTCCCAGACGAATAAACATAGAGATAGGGAGAGGGGAAATATTGAGAAAAAGAGAAGCTTAGAAGAAACAGCATTCTACTCCGATTCTGGGTTTTCCATGACAATCAAAGCGATGGGATCTACTATGATAACATTGTAGAAATTCAATAAAAGCGAATCGATACAAATGGATCATTTAGCTCCTTTAGTTAACTATTGAACCAAGGACTACACCAAGGCTTTTAAGCAAAAGAAAACATGTCAAGTGAATGCTATTGATTAATTGATACACCAAACGGGGTCTAATGCGACGGAAAGTCAAGAGCTAAGCAGTTTGGTAAATATAAATACTAATGATTGGTTGAACAACCAAGCTTAGGTCATCTTGAACGTCCACTCAATGCAGCAGCAGCTGAGCTACATGTGCCACTTTAAGTTTTTGCTCATACATGTCTATTTGCTGTATCCACTTTTTAATTCACTTTGCGCGCAGTGCGCTTAAAATCATCTGAATTTCGAGTTCGCCCAGTGCGTATATATGTGACAAATCAAATGACTTAGGCAACGAACTTGCTAACGAGCAGCGCTTCGGCAATGGGCCAGCCCCAGCTACGTTTGCATTGGTGGCAAGCGCAATAACAGTAGCAAAAACCAGCAGCTTGCAAAACAAATGACGCTTTCATCGCATTGCAACACGCAGCGAATGTTAAAATTAATTTTAATACACATAGACACACACACATACACCTGCATTTTAAGCTAGCCATGGCTAAGAGCTATAATAAAACAATATATGTATATGAAACAAATGTGTGTATTAGAGAGTGGCTGTGTGCATGCGCCTGACAGCTCCGATTAGCATAGCCTTATTAATAAATCATACATCTGTTGAAACAGCCCAAATCAATATCCAGCTGGACCCAGCCAACAGCTAAAGCAAACAAAACGAAGCTCGACTTTCATTTACATACAGACGTGTGCCAGAGATGGTCACTGCAACTGAACTTGCCCCATAGCAACGGAGGACTGAACTGAACTAGCAAAGGTTAGTTACCCGAGGCAACATTGGCTATGTATAGGTAGTACAATTCATGTGTATCCGATATAATATAACTGCAAACATAGTCATACAAGCTTCGAACACTCCAGTCGAAACTCTAGAAGTCTTTGCTGCTGACTGTGGGCTTGCCTCAGGTCTCAAGGTAGTGCGGGCGGAATTCGAAGGCGCAGCGATGGTGAAACCCGCGCAAAGCCGGCCAAAGATGGCTCGATGCAACTGCTATGGGTAAATAATTCAATTTGAGGCTAAAACTGTTCCAAATGATCTTAACTAGAGGCAACCCATACCATATTAGAGAGGCGAAGATGAGCGTGAAATCAGACGATGCTGCCAAAGATAGTCACAGTCACACACAACACACACACATGCACGCATGTAGGCATACATAATTATACTCACACACACATACGTCGTGCTTATGCTGGGCCAAAGAAACCGGTAACAGTCTCAAGGTCGTTGAGAAACTGTGCGTTTGGACCGTTCATCGGGTTGACTGGGCTCGATTGCGATGGCTTAAATCAAGATAAACCGCAGAGCAGCAGCTGCAGCAGAGCAGCAGAAGCATCGACATAGTTTGAACAATAACAAAGCCTCGCATTGAAGCGATTAGTATTCACACACACACACACGTACGTGTGCGTGTGTGTGTGCGGTATATAAAAAGCGAAAGTAAATGCCATGAAAGTGGAGCACAATCTGCCCGCGTTGAAGGCAAACTAGCGAGGGGGCGTTGCAATACAGGTATCTCAGCTTGCCCGTATGTGCATGTGTGTGTGTGTGTGTGTGTGTGTGCGTGTGTGTGACTCTGTATGCATCATAAGCATAAGTCGGTCAATAAGTTTATTGACCGTTTTAACACATTTGATGGCTTTATTTTCGTAATGAATACTCTCATTTCTCGCACAGAGTTTTGGTTTTCAGTGCCCCCAAATTGGTTGGGCAAATCAAAGTTTGGGCAACTGAAAAACTTATCAAATTGGCAATAAAACAATGCGCTTCAGCCTTTGTTTTTACATCAACACATTCGTCTGTTATTTATTATATTTGCTTTTTATGGGTTTTCTCATCTCTTCATTTCTTTTCTGTTCGTTTCATTTCGTTTCTTTTCTTTTCTGGTTTTGTTTTCGCATTATGTAAATTTATTAAGTCTACCTTTACATAATGATTGTGCGTCATTTATTAAACACTCTGCTGAACTGACTATAATTTAGTCAATTCAAACGGGCATTTGATATCCCGGCCCATGGGGTTAAGGGCACATTGCTATTGATGGATTGTGATTCCGAGATGTGCCAAGTTCAATTGATACACTCACTATGAGATAATGATTTGGCTACTGGTTGAAAGCTACGCTTCCAGTTTTTAGGCCTTGTATGTGGATGTGTATATATGTATAACTAGAGGACAGTCTTTTTCTTGTATAGCTGATACAGTTATAGTTTATTAGATTACCAAAAGCAATATCAAAATGGGAAGTCCGGTTATAATATCTTGGACATTCATTTACTTATTGTCAATATGTCGCATTAGTGCGATATTACGCTGATGTTGAAGTTACTAAGGGATGTCTTGATCCAACAGTGTTGAGAACAACCAGCAATTCGTGTTAATCGATGGATTTGGCATTGTAGTGACAATCAAAGGATGTATTGTCACTAGGAAAGAGACAACTATAGCTGTTGCTAGGTGAGAGCGAGGCAGCTAGTTATGTCCTTTACAGCGTTGTAAAAAGAACTAAGCGACACCGGGAATTCGTTGGTACGCGCAGTTATAATGGAAGGCATGAACGATAAACGCATCGCCCCGACATATAAATATATATTCCAAATGAAATGCTCTAGTCTGCTTTCAAATCATTCTAAGCTTCTTTTATCCATATTTGTACATATATGAAACATATTTATTTTCACTATTGAAGTTAAGCCTAGTTAAGTTAAGCAAAATTGTCGGCAAAGAGATTATAGGTGCGTAATGTGCACTGGAAAGTATATGTATTTAAAGGTTGAGATGTTTCATTGGGTTAATGCAGACCACGCCTTTTCTTGCCTGTTCAGTACATCATCATGCCTCAAATGGAAACCGAACAGAAGATCTTAGCCAAACGTGATAGCATTGCAGCAGCTGAAAATCGTTTTGTGGCAGCTTCACCTGGAGGGATACTGCTAAGGGATTTGCAGGCCAAATGAACGGTGGCGTGCAGATAATGACGAGTTGGTGTCGTTGCATTATTTTTAGACGAATCAAGGTCTGGAGCTGAAGCCACAGACACAGATTGCGCCATGTCAAGAAGGCAGGGAGATTCAAGGCCGACGTTGAACAAGTGCAGCAAATTTGTGCGAAGCTTCAAGGACACGAGTAGAAGTAATCGCAGCACTCGTAGCTGTAGCTGTTGCTGTTGCTGCTGGTGCTGATGCTATTTGAATGCAATTAACGACTGCACGAGGTGCTCTCTGGTAAATTCTATTTTTGGCCTAGTGCTGATAGGGCTGGGCTGAGACTCGGTTAGTGGGAACAGGCTGCCCTCCTCAAATCAGATTCGATCCGGCAGTCAGCCGAAGTCAGTGACAACGTGCGAGTTGTCTTCAGCTTGTCACAGTTACTCAATGGCAGGCTCTTCTGGTTGCGTACGCACTGAAGCTTCGGTTGTAATTAAGATTGCCTTCGGGGCGAACAGACGGCAGCGACCTTGGGCGCATTAAGTGCCTCAGCGACACTTTTAATGGGGCTGAGCTCATTCACAATGGCCAAACCGGTCGACGGCTTTAATATGTAAACAAGGATATTGTGCGAAGAGCGAACATGTAAGTGTGATTATGATTGTGACAATTCTTTGACAGTCTCTGGATTATGTTACAATTATTGTTAATGTTCATAAAATTCTGGATTTTTTGTAGAGCAATGAAACTAGCTAAGCAGATTTCGTTTAACTGTTTTCTGAAACTATTTCTTGTATGAATCACTATCATTTTGTTTTCTTCATAGAATTTTCAAGATATCACAATATGAATACCCGAGTCGCTCCATCAAATGTATAGTTTCATCTGGATGATGCAATCCCTGTTGATGATTAAACTGCAAAACGCTTTGATCTTTGAGTGAGGATACAATTTGGTTTTTTTGTTGTTTTTTTTTTTTTTTTTTTTTATAAGCACACTTCTGCTCTATATACCAAACAGCTGGTGGATGTATTCAAAAAGCCGTAGAACTTTGTAAGAGCACGCCTCACAGATTTCATCTATTTTACGTAAGAGTATATGAGCTCTTTTTTGTATTCCAATTCAAAAATATTCAAATGTAAATTACAATAAATGTCCACATTAACTTTTATATAAGGCCTATGTAATTAGAGCGAGGTTTGAAGTGCATGATTTATGTATCAAATTGTACAGATATTTTGAGTGCTTAG